CGAACCTCACACCGGGCGCCCACTGGGAGCGCCGCGGCCGCTGCTGCCTCCTGCGCCCGGCGCTGCTCCCTCTCCCGTTCCCGTTCCCGTTCCCGATCCTGATCCCAACGGCCCCACGAGCGCTGGCGCAGAAAGGAGCGCACAGACTCTGCCGGGACATTGAGGGGACAGTGGCACTTCAGGGACAGGGACACGCTGGCTCCACTCCCGGTCCTGCTCCTAATCCCATTCCCATTCCTACTCTCACTCCTGGTCCTGGTCCCAGCGGGCCCAGGAGTGCTGGAGCAGGAAGGAGTGCAGGGGACAGGGATGGTGGCACTTAGGGGACAGGGCTGTGTCCTATGGCACAGTGGGGACAAGCCACGGTCACCTTGAGCACTGCGGGGACACAGAGGGAACAGGACCGGTGTCTCCCGTGTCCCCAATATCCCCAACTCCCCCAATATTCCCTGAAGTCCTTATTTTCCCTGACATTCCCATAGTCCCCAATGTCCCCAATATCCCCCAATCTGCCCAACACTCCCAGTGTCCCCAATCACTCCCAGTGTCCCAATGTCCCCATTGTCCCCGATATCCCCCTAGTCCCATTGTCCCCAACCCCACCAATGTCTCCAATCCCTCTGCGTCCCTATGTCCCCATGATCCCCAACACTCCCCCCAAAGTCCCCACTATACCAAAACATCCCCAACAGCACCAATGTCCTCAATCTCCTCAGTGTCCCCTTGACCCCAAATCCCCCTGATGTTCCCCAATCCCTCCCAATGTCCCCAACCCCCCTGATGTCTCCCATATCCCCAGGGCCACCTGTCCTCTTGTCATAGTCGCTCTCGGCCATCTCGTACTTGGGCACCTGGGACAGGTCCTCAAACTGCCCTGCCCGGGCCCCACTCCGGTCGGTCACCTGGGGGGAGAGGGGTGGGGATGGCTCTCACTGGGGGTGTCCCCATCCCCCCTTGGGGACAGGGAGGGGACAGAGAGGACAGAGAAACCTGGGGGTGTTCCCACCCCCCTCTGGGGACAAGGGAGGGGACAGAAGTGACAGGAAGGGTCCACAGGGAACGCACGTGCAGGCGGCAGCCATCGCTGATGGGGTAGGAGCCCAGCAGGGCCTCATCGCGGTCCAGCGGCCCCAGGGGCTCATCCTCGGCACCGAACAGCTCCAGGTCCATGCACGAGGCCGGGGAGCCCACCACCAGCTCCAGCTTGCACTGGGAGGGGCAATATGGGATAACGGGGACACTGGGAGGGTCATCGAGACAGGGAATACTGATGGGGACCTCATCACCAGCTCCAGCTTGCACTGGGAATGGGGATATTGGGGATGCTGGGGACACTGAGAAGGGTCACAAACTGTCCCGGGGACACTCAACGGGAGCCCACCACCAGTTCTAGCTTGCACTGGGAGGGGACACTGGGGAGTCTCAGTTTAGGGTTTAGAGTATGTCTGATCAGGGTTTGGGAGTCCCAGGTTGGGCTTGGGGGTCTCGGTTCGGGGGTCCTGGGCCAGGGTTCGGGTCCCAGTTTGGGGGGTCTCAGTTTGGGGGCCCCTGATTGAGGTTTGGGGATCCCGGGTCAGAGATCCCGGTTTGGGATTGGGGGGCCCCGGTTACGTTCCCGTTATCCCATGGGGAGGTGCCGGGGTGGGGGTTGGAAGTCCCGGTTCGGGATTCGGGGGTTCCCGGTTCCGTTCCCGTTACCCCGCTGGGCGGTGCCGGGACGGTACCTTGAGCTCCGCGATGGTGAGCGCKGGTGAGAAGCGTTTGCAGGCGCGGAAAGCGTTCAGGGAGCTGCTCACCGCCAGCCACACCGGGCCCGGCTCGGCCCCGCCGCCGTTCATGGCTCCGGTACCGACCGAGCCCAGCGGGTACCGGCAACACGGGACCCACCCGACCGGGACTCCCGGGACTCCCCCGAACCCCTCCAGGAGGCCCTGAGGCCCTTCGGGAGCCTGAGGGCTCCCCGAACTGAGAAACGACCCCAACGATTCCGTGTCCTCCCGAACCGCGGCCGCTTCTGGAACCTTCACGGGCCGCCACAGCCGGGACCGGCGACGGCGTGACCAATCAGCGCCCTCGGAAGGGCACACGTGATACCAACTGACCAATAGCGAGAGAGAAGAGGAGGCATTGAGAGAGCTGACCATTAAGAAGAGTAAGGGGCAGGACAAACGAGAGCTACCCAATACAAAGAGAAGAGAGGAGGATCAATGAGAGAATCAGACAATAAGAAAAGGAAGAGGGCGTATTGAAGGAGAATGGACCAATAGAGATAATAGGAAAGGGGGGAAACAGGATTCACTAACGAAAAGAAGAAATAGGCGGGTCTAAGAGAGGGCTTACTAATGGAAAGGGGAGATGGGAGATTGACAGGTGGTTTGGCCAATGAAAGGAGGGGGAAACGGAAGGGGTGTGTCCTCGCGGACATGGACGGAGACGGTGCGTACGAGCCGGGTTTCGTGGGGATCCGGTTCTGCCAGGAATGGTGAGAGAAAACACCGGGAAAACACCGGGAATTCTGGGGGAAGAGCAGCGGGAATTCACTGGGAGTGCACCGGGAGCTGGGGGTAGCGGGGGGTGGGAATAGCTGAATAGCTGGAATACAGCGGGGAATGGCGGAAATTGTGAGGGAAACACACTGGAGCTGTGAGGGGGAATAACCTGGAATGGTGAGGGGAGAAATACCAAAAATGGTGAGGGGAACAACAGCGGGAATGATGAGGGGGAAACTACAGGAATAGTGAGAGAAACACCAGGAATACCCTAAAATACATGGGACACACCTAGGAAATACTGGGAAAGACACGGAATAGACCGGGGAAATATCTGGGAGTACTGGCACTTCCACCCGCCTCGGAGGCTCCCAGTAACTCTCAGTTTTCCCAGTAACAACATGCTGTACCCCAAGGAGGACAAGGAGAACCGGATCCTGCTCTATGCTGTGAGTGCCCCTCCCACATCCCCCCTGACTGGGACCAATTTGGAACTGGGACCGGGCCCTGACCCCGCCCGATTTGATCCCAGCCCCCTCCCAGTTTAATACTGAGATCTCATCCCAGTTTGGCGCTGGGAGCAGACCCTGACCCACTGGGTCCAAGCCCCATCCCAGTTTGGCTCTAGGATCCCTTCCCAGTTTAGTACTGGGGCCAATCCCAGTCTCTCCAAATCCCCTCCCAGCTCCTCCCCGTCTTTCGCAGTCCCCTCAGAGTTCCTCCAGATCCTCTCCAGTTCCTCCTAGTTCTCTCTCAGTCCCTCCCACTTAATGCCAGTTTGTCCCAGGCCATGCCAGTACCAGCTGGCAGGTCTTGGCACAGTACTGGTTGTAGCTGTAGGTGGCATTGTGACCCTCCCAGTCCATCCCAGTTTGTTCCAGTGCAGGAACTGCGATTACCAGCAGGAGGCCGACAACAGCTGCATTTACGTCAACAAAATCACCCACGAAGTCGAGTGAGAAATCCCCCAAATACCCCAAAATACCCGTGGGACCCGCCCAGAATATTCTCAAATATTCCCAAATAGCCAAAAATACCTCTGGGAGGCCCCAAAATACCCCTGGGACCCCTGCTGAACACTCCCAAGAACCCCCAAATATTCCAAAAATAGCCCTGTAAAATATCCCAAATACCCTTGGGACCCTTCAGGACCCTCCAGAACCTCCAAAATCCTTAGCACCCTCCAAAATATCCCCAAATACCCGAAAATATCCCTGGGACACCCCCTAAAATATTCAAAAATACACCTGGAGCCCCTTAAAATATCCCAAAATACTTCTGGGACCCTTCAGGACCCTGCACATATCCTTGGGACCTCCCCAGAATTGGGGAATTTGGGGGTGGGATTTTGGGCTGAATTTGAGAGAACTTTGGGGCAATTCAGGGGGATCTCATTGCGGGGAAATGGAGGTGGAATCTTTTGGGAATTTTGTAGGAATTTTGGGCTCATGCCCAGGTTTCTCTTGGTAGCAAGCTGACCCAAAGCAGGAACATCGAAGGAGGATTTGGGGGGGATTTTGGATGCATTTTTTGGGGGGGATTTCAGTGGCATTCACTGGGATCTCTTTGAGTAGGAATTTTTGGGGTATTTTGGGTGGATTTTTGGGGATTTTGGGCTCATTCCCAGGTTTTTCCCAACAGCGAGCTGACCCAAATCATCGCTGACGTGTCCCAGGACCCGACCCTGCCCCGAACTGAGGACCACCCGTGCCAAAAGTGAGACCCCTCCCCAAAAAACAGCCCTCCCCACCCTGGGGACTCCCAGGGACCCTTGGGAGCAGTTTTGGGACATGGGAGCCCCTTTTGGGGATCCCTTGGGGACATTTTTTCTGTGTTGCTGTCCCCAGGTGTGGCCATAAAGAGGCCGTGTT